ACCCTCCCCCGACCACTCAAACCAGCCAATCACAGAGCTGTACTCTTCACACGTGACCCAGAGCAGCCAATCAGCATCTAGTAACCTTGGCGACGCGTACAATTCCCCTGGTTTCCAGATGGACTCAATTCAGAAGCTGCACAGTCACTCGCACACATTCAACGGAGGACATTATTATCATAGTGACACTACAGGGATTTAATGGGCCTAAGCCCTAAAGTAATTACTGTTTGGGACTAATGCATAATGGGCCTTATAGGGCCATAACATAACTCACATGGTCGTAATACGACCCCTATAATTTCACCTACCCGTACCGTGTGCTTACGCGTACTATGTGACGCTGTTGTTTGCCGCGGGCCGCCGTATGGCGGTCGTGCGAGAGGGCTTTAATTTTATTGGGTTTATTGACGGATGATACTGATAGTTTTAATTTCTTCGAAACCAGAGGCACTGGCAAGTGCTATGAAGTAGCGGGAGCCGGGTCAGTCCATTAACAAATAACGATGGACAATCTGGTATATAGAGCAATCTGAATCATGTAATTTTAATTTTATGATACGCAGAACTTGGAACTGGTGAAACTGAATTGATTTCCTGTTTGGTTGTTCGCTGTTCATGCAGCTCACGTCATGGAGCTATACACTTAGACTTATTGATCGCAATGCAAGTTTTAGTGTTGAAGTAGAAAATAAGAACCGTTTTGTGCTGTTGTCTATTTAATTAATTTAGTGATTAATTATTTTGATGTTTGTTGGCTGACTACGGAAATTATCAATATGAATACAGCCCTTCCTGACTGAATTTTGTTGATATATTGTTCCGCTAATTGTGTTTTCCAATACTTTGTAATTGTTCTAATATAAATGATTAACGATTATTTCCAAATATTTTGTTGTAAATTGGTTCGGCAAGATTTTGACAACACTCTGCAGGGGCAGGTAGACGTCTAGCAATATTTTGCACAAACAAATGAAACACTTCCTTTCAATCACATTAAAATCACAATAAGTTAACTATCGACGATACAGATCTCAGTGTATACTACTTTAGCATAAACGCCATGACATGAGTATGACACTTCATTTAAGTCAAAAGCGAACATTTTCGGTATAAATAGCGAAACTCAAAAAATTCCATTCAACTCATTTTCCGAGTCTCTTTGATATGGTATAGTTTCAGAATTGTGTGACGAGCACTACGATATAACAGTACAATTATTTAACCGAAAATAACAATCAAATGGCTTTCAGATCTCTTAAAATGGTACTACGAGGGTCTGGAAAAAGTTGAAGTCCATTTTATGATGCGATCGAGAACTGAACCTGGTTCTAGCTATGGCTGTTGCAGCAACAGTATTAAACCTAAGTAAAAATAGCTACTGAGCGCAACAGGATTTGCTCGAGTCTAAAGATGAAACTGGAAATGCATACAAAAATAAAAATAAATCGCTTATAATTATAAATAATCACCAACATACTAAAATCCAAACATTTGTTTCCACTAACTTTCAACTTTCAATCTTTAATATCCGAACATTCCTAAAATTTCTTCCTTCAACATAATTCGTATTATTTAGTAGTAGAGCCTCAATAGGATATTACACAATATACATTTTAATGAACATAGATCGGTTACTATACCAACTAGTGTAACATTTTCTGATGTAAAGTTTATTTTTTCTAGACTATTCTTGCTCAAATAACGCATAATATAAAAACAGTACCATCTGTAACCCGATGTTTACGAAGCAGATAAAAATGTCTATTAGTTAATATCAAACAATTTCTTTCTGCTTTAGCGTATAAAAACAACTTAATTTGGCGCCCCACAAGGCTTTCAATATGAAACATTACTTGAAAAGAAAAACCTAGTAGTAAGGGGAAAAGTGGTCGATTTAAGGGTTCCGTTGGATTTAAATGTTCACAAGGATTTAGCAACGGAATATGGTAGTTAGAACCCCTACGAACATAATTAGACTTGTCACCAATTTTGTATCTCGACAGAAACACCACTTTTTACCACTTTTTACCACCTTTGTACCACCTTTCTAGTTTGCCAAATATCTTTAGTTGTGAACGTCGTAGAAGGCTGGAAATTAACCTAGAATGTTTATCTTATCAAGGAGTAAAACTTTTGTACGAAAAATTTGTACATTGGACAATCAGCTAATTGGATAATTACTAATTAGTTAATTACCAAAAAAAGTGAAAATTTTTTATTGGCTCAAAATGATTAAAATCGTTTGAAACACGGAGAAATGTAGTTTTTAGAAAAACTTCAAAACTTTTTCACTTACAAATTTTTTTTGAGACTTGGAAAAATTTCGAAAATTTGAAAAAAAAAATTTCCGCCAAAAGTGATCGAATTGCATAAAACGTGGATAAAAATGCTTTGCAGAAAAACTTCGAACATTTTTAGATTGGGGAATACTAAAAACAAAAGGACCGTTTAAGATCGAACCGATTTTACCTGCTGTATACTATCATTTTATTGATTTCAATGATCAAAACCTCTCTGTACCGTCAATCTTGCCAATCTACACCGGGTATCTGAATGTACCGGACCTCATCTTTGCCTCTATAATAATTAGACCCAGTTGTGCAAGAAATGCGATTTCTCACAGGGGCTTCTTTTAACTGTGCACCTTTTGTCACTCTCGCAAGAGGCCTGGAATAATTATAGGGGGTATAGGAAGTGTAAATATACCTTCCATCATCCACTGTGGCTTTTTTGTGTTGTGAATGCACATGCCGCTTCGTTTGCTATGCAAGATACCTCGAATAACCCCCATATGTCATTGCCAGGGTCGGGATAGAGCTGGAGATAGCATTGAGAGTTGCTAGAAATAACTAGACTTAGAATAAAGTCTAGCTATCAGATTATGATGAAAGGCTGTTAAGCTTAGGGGTTAAGCTTAGGGGTAGGCGACAATTGACCCCCCGACAATTGACCCCCGACAATTGACCTCCGACAATTGACCCCCGGAAATATAATTTAATACAATTAATCCTGACCCTGACCCTGACCCTGACCCTGACCCTGACCCTGACCCTGACCCTGACCCTGACCCTGACCCTGACCCTGACCCTGACCCTGACCCTGACCCTGACCCTGACCCTGACCCTGACCCTGACCCTGACCCTGACCCTGACCCTGACCCTGACCCAGGACCCTGACCCTGACCCTGACCCTGACCCTGACCCTGACCCTGACCCTGACCCTGACCCTGACCCTGACCCTGACCCAGGACCCTGACCCGATCAATTGACTCCAGTGTAATTACATGGGGGGTCAATTGTCGTACTAAGCCCTAGATTTTGCGACATTTGACGCCAGTGTAATTTCATAGGGGGTCAATTGTCGGGGGGTCAATTGTTAGGGGGTCAATTGTCGCGGTACAAAGCTCAGGACGGTGATCTTGATAGGTCGGATAGCTGTACCTGATTGGTTCCAGCCCACCGTGTCGCTTGGAATTAAGTCATCACCCCACCTCTTCCAAAAATGCGGTTACCAGAGCAGGAAACTCTTCTTCCTCCTCTTCTTTCAACCCAAACACAATCAGGTTCCTGCTCCTCTCCTCCTCTGCAGCCAGAAATCTTATCTCCTTCTTCGGCGTTTTACTGTTGCAGACTGTATCACTTGCACTGTTCTTTTGCAGTACTCCTGCACTGTTACACTGTAGCTCTGTGTCCCTGACTCCACCGTGGTTTGCACTGCCCCTAAACTGCAATCTTAAGTAACTTTAGTTCCGGCACTCTTTGGCCATTAAAATAACCAACTCCAATGAAACCCCGTGTAGCTACGTTCTGCTACCTCCATGCTAGCACCACCCAGCTACCACCAGTTTATTCTAAGTCTAGCTATTTCTAGCAACCTCTCAATGCTATCTCCAGCTCTATCCCGACCCTGGCAATGACATATGGGGGTTATTCGAGGTATCTTGCATAGCAAACGAAGCGGCATGTGCATTCACAACACAAAAAAGCCACAGTGGATGATGGAAGGTATATTTACACTTCCTATACCCCCCTATAATTATACCAGGCCTCTTGCGAGAGTGACAAAAGGTGCACAGTTAAAAGAAGCCCCTGTGAGAAATCGCATTTCTTGCACAACTGGGTCTAATTATTATAGAGGCAAAGAAGAGGTCCGGTACATTCAGATACCCGGTGTAGATTGGCAAGATTGACGGTACAGAGAGGTTTTGATCATTGAAATCAATAAAATGATAGTATACAGCAGGTAAAATCGGTTCGATCTTAAACGGTCCTTTTGTGCTGTTTCTTTATGTGGAATTTGATAAAGCTGTATTGTAATTAGTTATGAAACTCTAATATTGTGTGGTTAACGTTTTTCAGGTTCAGCCCTTTCCGCTAAGCTATTCCTAATTACTAAAATATGCCGAGATTTACTGAACTCCAACTTCAAATATTGATGATTTTAGTATTCCCCAATCTAAAAAGGTTCGAAGTTTTTCTGCAAAGCATTTTTATCCACGTTTCATGCAATTCGATCACTTTTGGCGGAAAAATTTTTTTTCAAATTTTCGAAATTTTTCCAAGTCTCGAAAAAAATTTGTAAGTGAAAAAGTTTTGAAGTTTTTCTAAAAACTACATTTCTCCGTGTTTCAAACGATTTTAATCATTTTTAGCCAATAAAAATTTTTCACTTTTTTTGGTAATTAACTAATTGGTAATTATCCAATTAGCTGATTGTCCAATGTAAAAATTTTTCTTATAAAAGTTTTACTCCTTGATAAGATAAACATTCTAGGTTAATTTCCAGCCTTCTACGACGTTCACAACTAAAGATATTCGGCAAACCAGAAAGGTGGTACAAAGGTGGTAAAAAGTGGTAAAAAGTGGTGTTTCTGTCGAGATACAAAATTGGTGACAAGTCTAATTATGTTCGTAGGGGTTTTAACTACCATATTCCGTTGCTAAATCCTTGTGAACATTTAAATCCAACGGAATGCCACTTTTCCCCTTAACCGAAAATAACAATCAAATGGCTTTCAGATCTCTTAAAATGGTACTACGAGGGTCTGGAAAAAGTTGAAGTCCATTTTATGATGCGATCGAGAACTGAACCTGGTTCTAGCTATGGCTGTTGCAGCAACAGTATTAAACCTAAGTAAAAATAGCTACTGAGCGCAACAGGATTTGCTCGAGTCTAAAGATGAAACTGGAAATGCATACAAAAATAAAAATAAATCGCTTATAATTATAAATAATCACCAACATACTAAAATCCAAACATTTGTTTCCACTAACTTTCAACTTTCAATCTTTAATATCCGAACATTCCTAAAATTTCTTCCTTCAACATAATTCGTATTATTTAGTAGTAGAGCCTCAATAGGATATTACACAATATACATTTTAATGAACATAGATCGGTTACTATACCAACTAGTGTAACATTTTCTGATGTAAAGTTTATTTTTTCTAGACTATTCTTGCTCAAATAACGCATAATATAAAAACAGTACCATCTGTAACCCGATGTTTACGAAGCAGATAAAAATGTCTATTAGTTAATATCAAACAATTTCTTTCTGCTTTAGCGTATAAAAACAACTTAATTTGGCGCCCCACAAGGCTTTCAATATGAAACATTACTTGAAAAGAAAAACCTAGTCATCGTATCCAACTTACTAAAACCTGTAATATCGCATCTTAAATTATGCACTGTAAATCATAGAGCATCGTAAATTATGCTGCTGTTAATTATTTCCATTGCACAGTAATAACGTGGCGTTACTCCCACCCTTGCAGTTTGCACGTGCAGCCATTGCGCGGCTTAATAACAGTGGCGCGACGCGAAACCACGGTTACTACATTAATACATGAATACAACGGTTAATAGCTGGCGATCAAGCCGTCCCGCTAATTGGATCAACTGAAAAATTATCTAGTCATCAGAATCAGTGCCTGGTTACTGTGGCGTTAACGTGGTTACCATGGTTACTGTGGCGTTACCATGGTTACTGTGGCGTTACTTCGGTTACCATGGTTACCATGGTTGCTGTGGCGATACCGCGGTTACATTAATACGACTCGTAGCCAGATATAACAGTGTTCATGTAGTCGAAGACGGTGAAGCTGATGCTGGATGCTAGGGGTCCCTTCAAGAAATTCAGGCTCAGTCCTTTGTAGAGACCACGCTTTATTCCTTCGTTCTGGTAAATGTGTGACAGTGTACCCCTGTAGAAAGTTATTAATAGGTTTTGTTAATAGTTATACATGTTTAAATATTGACTACTGATGCGCTCGGGTACAAAATTAAAGTGGAAATCAATGGAAATGTGTTCATGTAACAGGAAAATGAAGATAAGTGAAAGAGGTAGGGAAATGAAAGTGAAAGAGAAACTGAACTCATACCTCATAGTGCTGTAACGTTCCAGATGATCCCCCTTGATACCGCCAGTCTGCATACGACGCCGTGTTACGTCCAGAGGGTAGGAAATACTCTGACCACACAGCCCTGCAAACCCTCCGTATAGGAGGCGGTGCTCGGTGAGTAAACCGTCTGATGAACCTAATCGGGGGGAGGTGGTTATTTGGTGGTTCAGGGCAAATTAACAGGGCTAGTTGCTATATTATACACTTTGAACATATGTAGACTGTAGAATATAGTAGTACATAGTATCAAATAACTCTATTTAAAGAAGATTGTATTTATATAAACTGTTAAAGTTCGCTCCCCCACCCCATAACTCAAGCACAGGCAACTTACTGTTCGAGTGTTTCTGAAAAACAACCTGATCTGCGCTGTGATACTCACTTAGAGGGTTAATGTTCTTCAAGGTTCCGAACACGTAGAAACTGGTCCCCCCGTACACAGAGACCCCTATCAGTGTTGGAGCTAGCCCCCTGAACAGTGCATTCTTTACATTCTTTACATTTCTTTACATGTTAAAACTACGAACCTTTGGATAACCATGACTTTTAGACATTTACTTTAATAGCAATACGACATTATTCCATCAAATAATCATGCTGTCTTCTTCATGAGAGATATGTATCTAGTCGGCACTATGAAATTGTAAATAGTTAGATAAAGCAAATGTTCCTTTTCTCTAATAATTGATGATCCTACCTGTACAAAGACGAGACTCCTTCCGTTTTCAGAATATACTTCAGACTCTGTAAAATACTAACATACTCGCTTTTAACAGCCATTCTAGCCCTCAAAACCTGTTAAATCAGTGTGATATCACGTATTTAACACAGAGAAAATAAGACAACAACATTTTATATTTTCACAAATTGACAAAAACATGCTGAGAACAAAAACTCTAAAAACTGAGAGGAGAGGAAATACCTCGAGGCCGTAGGTGGAGAAACTAGCGGTTAACCCAGCCATGCTGCCAGAACAGAACCGGTATACGTGGGACAGTTTGCCGTCTGGATCTTTTCTTTTGAAGTAATCTTTGTAAGATTCGTTTGACATGTAAGTTATTGCTGCATAGGGTACAATCCGTACCATCGTGGCGCTGTTACCTAAAGTTATATTTAGTTATTTTTATTAACTACATTATTATACTACAGGGTGGGCCAAAAGTCAGTACCCATACGTTGGCCTTTATAGCTCAGTCACTGAGTGCCCAATTTAAATACTTCCTTCTGGTATGACTTAGTACCACCACTGGTTCGAGGAATTTGTCAACTCGAAAAATATTCGCCTTCGTTTTTTTCAAATGGAGGTTCATTTTAACATTTATTTGATAGTTTGGATGGTCAGATCAAGCTAAATATTATTGAATTGTGTTTGGCCATTCGAATTACGTTTGTCCTGAAAGAATTAGAACTGTAGCTTCTCAGATGATCGAGATATGAAGCTTAACAAGTTTATTCATTATGTGTGATCAGGTGATTGGTTTACCTAATCACATGATAAGGTGACCCCGTTAACTACCCCGTTAAACATTATGGGAATTGTTCAGGGTGCCCAATTAAGGTGTCGTGTCACGGTGTCACATAATCACCCAGTCAATTTTGTTAACGAGATTTAGAAAATGCTTGATAACTTCGTCATTTCTAATCAGTTTTGCCTCATGTTTTCAGATCATATGCAACATTTGATAATCTACCGTCTCTGAAAAAAATTAGTCGTTGAGCATGTCCAGAGAAAACAATATAGGTGTTTTAATATTGAATGGGCGTGGTCTAAAATATTCGAATTTCCAAATTTTGACAACAGGATCCTCGAACCAGTAAGTACAGTATGCCATATGCAAAGCAACAGCTCTCAAATATAAAACACGGCGGAGCTATTAAGGCCAACGTATGGGTACTGACTTTTGGCCCACCCTGTATTATATTTAGTTATTACTGGAATATTACAGTGTAGAAAATGTAAAGCTCAAAGACATTTTACTGGGAGAATGGTGAGAAATAAATCAGGTTGTATGTTAGTTACACAATTTCAAATGTTAGCCATTAAAACTTCGAGCTGGACCTCGAGCTGCCACCCAAAATACCAAAGTAAAACTCTTCAGAATTACTTAAGTTGTGAAAATGTAATTTTACCTTTCCACATCATGGTGACTCCATTTTCCCGAACGGTGGACGCTAAAAACTGGACACATTTTCGGTATGAAAATGATTTTTTAGAAGATACCTGGAGAGTAAAGGTAAAACAAACCAAAATATATGTTAAAGGCTAACATTATCAACAGAGATAATAAACAATAATCTAATAGAAAATACACAACAAGACTTTGAAATTTAAATATTCAAAGGCAGAAAACGGGGAACAAGGCAAACTTTAAACTCACCTGAAATACGATTTTGGCCCTATCAAGTGGTGCGATGGTTGTTTTAGCGACAGCCCCCGCCGTTGCCCCCGAGACGAAATTGCCAAGTATCTCTTGGTACGTCCGTGCTCGGGGCTGTGGACCCATAATTTATCACGTGCACTGGAACCATGCCATACTAAAAATAAGTTGGGGTTAGCATGTACTGAAAACATTTTACACTAGGGATACACTTTTTAAACACAAATATTTTTAACAAGAAATTAAAAACATTGTAAACTAAGTATTAAGTAACCGCAATTACAAACACGAGCTTAAAGGATCAATTATAACGATAACAAATGAACTAGCAGTGAAGTAACAGCAACCACATGAGTTATTGTTACACATCATGTGACTTCATTATTTAACTTGTACATTTGCCATCACGATCCTATCACATTGATTATGTAAGTCACACACAAGATTGGCTTACTGTAGTTGTGGATGCACCCCGGAATTTAGGCGATTGTTACATTTCAGCTACACTTCAAAATATTTATATTTTTAATGATTGGTAAGAAACTGCTCTTGAGCACTCGCTATACTACAACGGCGTGACGCTATATTTCTTGAAAATGTGCCAAATTTAGAATTTTGCGCGAAAACAGATTTACTTTTCGCGTATAATATAGGATTGGCGGTCGCGCGCTCCCGAGTGGAAGCCTCGACTAGATTAGGACGAGGTAGAAGTTCGGGTACCATGATTTTAAGGTGGGAACGGCCTGTTTTATGTTTAAAGTTAAATGTGATCTGTTACTGTGGTAGTACCACTACCTTACTAAGATAAATATTATATACTACAGTTCAACATGAAAAGATACATAGAGCTTGCTGTAAAAATAAAAAATTCTTCAGAGAAAAGCCGCAAAAATGTCAAAAATGCCACATGTTTATTGTGCGATTAATACAATTTGCGAATGAATTTTTTAGGTATGACAATGACTAACAGGTCGGCAAACAATTAAACAACAATAAACATAAACTGAATATATCAACGCTTGTAAAGCTAAAAATCGCACAAATCAATTATGCATAAAATGTTACCTCAAAATTCTTTAATTAGCTAATTAATTGGCTATTAACCAATTAATAACTTAACCAGAGCACATGATAACACCGTGCAACGTTTCAAAACAATTGTGTATAAAGCAAAACATTTTAATATGGTGTATATAAAGCACAAAAAATGGTTTAGCTTACAAGCATTTTCAAATAAAATCTACAAGCAAAACAACTTAAAATAACTCATATCAAATACAATGCCAAACTACCACATAAGCTAATTGCATTTAATAAAACCCCGTCACAAAATATAACAATAAATATTGTATGAAGCTAAAACCTCGAAACATATAGAAATATTACGCATATCTGCGATCCCTATTTCTAAGTGAAACATTTAATTAAGAAACCATCGAAATTGTATTTCCTAATAATACTTTCTACTTTCAATACATGAAAATAAAATCAGCAGACTTCTATAATATTCAAGTATATATCCGTTTTATTGTTGTTATTGTATTTGACTGAAGTTTTAACTTCAGTTTAAAAACTAAAGTAAGTCCTTATCTCTAGAATATTAACTGTAATATAATCCCTCACCAAAACCCGCTATAATCTCACTTTATATTACTGAATTATTACGCTACATTACCTAGTTATAAATAACTCTGTATCACTGCTATCAAACTTACTTCAGGCTTTATCTCTTTTGGCCTTGTAAAGTTGTCAGGTCTTGTTGGAGAGGTATCAGTAATTAAGTCAAAGTGTGGCTCTGCGGCCAATAGTACAGTGCATTACAGGCTACAGCTGGTATTTAAATAGTTTACTACAATCTTTAATCTTATTTACCTGCTAATTACCACGCTAATTGATCTGCTAATTGATCTGCTAATTACCGCGCTAATTGATCTGCTAATTACCACCTAAAGCTAACTAATACCAGGGAGAGTCTCTCATCATCAACAATCATCTGTTCGTCACAAAGTCTTCTTCTTTGGCAATAATATTATCTGTTATTTTGCCTGAAATTAAGAAATTAATCGAACCAAATATCAAACAAACATAAACAATCAATTAATTCGAATTGAATCCATCGAACAATAACACATCAATTATTGTTCAATTATCATCCAATTACCTGGTAATTAAACAGGAGGGACATAATCAGTGAGATTATCTTTAGGCTGAGACATGCTCTCAGGGAAGTAGGCCATCAGCACATCAAACAGTTCAGTACGTATGGTGTACGTGTCCCGCTGGGAACTGTTATCAAACACACTGACTACCAGCTCCTGAAATTGGTGTTCTTCTTCTTTGTTGCTGTGGTCAACAACCTGGGGTAGGGTCAGTTAGGAATTTGGAATATTTTAGAGGATTGTGGGGATTGAATGGGTCCAAGTTACTGCGGACATAGTTCACTATGTGTTTATCGTGTTTGGGTGCCCATCATATTTTACAGATGGGGGCGATATTTTGAACGATTCTATTTTATATTCATCTATTGCTGTACTCTGTAAAATTTGAAAAGTATTTAATAAAAAAAAGATGATATTATAGATAACTGCCTTTGTAATGATAAGAATGGATATTGGAACTGGGTTATCTTAACTACTCTTTTTATTTCTTATATCAAGTCTGCGTTGTTGAATGCTACAAGTAGCATTCAACAGCACAGACTTGACTGTTCATGTTGGTGGGGGAGGAAACATCAATTATTTTCTTTACCCGTGTTACGCGAAAGCTTGCTGCATTTCTACAGTAAAGCGACGTTTCAATGCATATTACATTTCATGATAAAATCGATGATTCAATCGAGTACAGATATAATCTGCTTACCTCCTCAACATGTTGCTGGAGGTAGAGGAGTGCCCCAACAGGATCTCGTAGACTCATATCTCGGAACTTGAACTTCCTTACCTGGGGGGAAGGGTGAGGTTACAGTTAAACTTAGAAATGGTTAAAACCTCAAATTTTCCGGCATAAAATATAGTTTAAACTTTTAAAGGTTCAAGTAGGAATAAAATTTACGGATTTAGTGGAACTCTGGCTTTTATTTCAATTCGGATTTTCTGACCGATTCAACAAGAAAGTGCAACAAGAATTTCGGCCGTTTGATTTCACTACAGTAAAACTGTAAAACCGTGCTGACTCTATACCGGGCCTCTCAGGGAAATGTAAAGTTTCTGGGATAGAAAAAAAAAACTCGTTATAGAGAGGTTCCCCTGATCCCAATCCCCAGGGGTATAGGACACGAGGGCGGAGGTCACGTGATACTGTGATACTCACTTTAACATGGACAGTGGACACGAGGGCGAAACCAAACACAGTCCTAAATAAAAAACCAGTAATAAACTTGTAACATCATACAATTTTATGTTAACTTTTGTTTATATGCGGCAAATTACTTAAATACACATGAATTAATATATAATATTATCTTTTAACTGTTAACATATATATACTGTATAGCTATATTCAACAATGAATTTAATTTCATCTATAATAAGATTTTACTGGCAAAACATAGTTTTTAATTTTTGTGGATAAATGAGTGCATGATTTCTTGTTATCTCAGATCACATAACTGTATGTGAGGACATCCCTGTGCGTGCCGGCGTTATGTGTGTTATATGTGTTTTTAAAGTAAGTTGCCGCATATAAACAAAAGTTTAAATACAATTTTATGATGTTACGAGTTTATTACTGGTTCTTTATTTAGAACGGTGTTTGGTTCCGCCCTCGTGTCCACTGTCCATGTTAAAGTGAGTATCACGTGACCTCCGCCCTCATGTCTTCCCTTTTTGGCAAGTACTGCTCTAGCATTATGTCCTTCTCCCTCGTGTTCAGTTCCCGCACGGTATAAAGAGGTTTGACTGTACTTATATCGATATTAGTTATTCGTTACGGGTATATGGCCCCCAGAATATAGGTCGTTTTTTGAGCACTTAGAAACAGGTGTTAAAACTACTTCTAAGCATGTTTAGGGCTGTAAATATGTACATAATAACCCTTTAAATGTTTCTTGGGTAGTTGAAAATAATTATTAGGTTTTTAAGTGTACTTTTTTTTCACCTGTAAAAATACCATTTTTTAACAGGGCCCCCAGAATATAGGTCCAAACATCTGTTCCTAAGTTGTTCTAAAATTGTCACAGACAGTTATATGCAGTCAGAATATGTTGCTGAGACTGTATTGATGATGCCAATGGCTCCAGATACTAAATTGAAATGGTTTAGAGTATACTTAATAGCAAAAAATCAAAAACTACGGCCCCCAGAATATAGGTATGCAAAAATCGTCCTCAAATACTCCACCTTCATACATTTTGATGATGCCATCTCTTCAGCATATGTTCTTTAACTGTTTCTCATCACTACCCCACATTCCTTAATGCTCAGGGTGACAGAGAAAATGCAGAATCTTGGTCGCTATTTTTTTTTTAAAACCTATATTCTGGGGGCCATATACCCGTAATGAGTAAAATCTTTAATTTTACTAGTTAAAAAGCTTTCATGCACTCATTTAGTAGGGATCTTAACTAAATACTTAAATAAGATTGAAGGAGTGTCCCTAGATATGATTGAGGGGGGCTGTTTTTATCTGTATCAATACAATGTGCACCTCAATGACTGTAAATCAGACATTTTTGGCCGCCAAATTTTTTTAAAGGCCTAACTCAAAATTCTGTCCCAAAACTTAAGGTCATGAGACAATTCTACGTTGATTCTGAAAATTTCATGTGAAAATATTGAAACCCTATTGAGTTCTATTGTTTTGAGCGAAGTCAGTTTGAGATATGGGCGATTTTGTTCATTTTTTGCGATTATTTGAACACAGAATCCACAGTTAGGTAGATATTGAGCTGATAATCATAGAGAATGTGTAATATATGCTTACCTTCCATATAAAGTTGGTTTCATTCAAAAATATTGATATTTGACCAATTTATGACCAAAATCGATCAAATTTGGTGCGTATGCCCAAATATGGGCATATGGTTTTTGTTTTTATCCCATAACTCGGCCAATTTTTATCCAATTTTGATAAAACTTGATATGTGGGTTCAGGAGACTAGTAGCTACAAGTAGAGCATCCCAAAGCATGGTTTTGGGCATGTTCAGGGTTTTTGACCAACCTATATTCTGGGGGTCGTATAGACCTATATTCTGGGGGCCCGTAAAATTGTGGTGGCCATAACTTTTTTCCAAATTGTCAGTTTGCAGATGTCTCGATGAAAAGATAGCTTAAAATAATACTTATACTCATACCAGTAGTCTTAATGGCATGTGTTGGACAGATTTTTGTCATGACAATTTTTCGCCATATTTACCCCTCTAGAAAATGACAACATCGTTTAAATCTTTCGCTGTCATGACCAAATATACCAAAATACCTCATGTAGGTCCAAAATTTTTATCCAGAAACATTAGTTACATGTTTTACTCCAACATAGCAGTAACAGATCCCATTAGTATCGCTTATCTTGGTTAGAACTGTATCCACTAACATGACCTATATTTTGGGGGCCACCTATATTCTGGGGGCCATATACCCGTACACCAGTAAAGTTGATCCATTTAACGGTTTATTACCTCATCGTCCGGTTGGTACGGGAAACTCACACTCGCACGTTACAATTTGATCACTTAATTGCTTTAGATAAGCTATTTTAAGCTGTAAAGCGCTTTAGCAGTGTTACTTTTAAAGGGTTTAACTTAAAGATGTTACTGAGGTGAGAAAGACGATCAGAACATATAAATACAATTACACAAGAAATTACACACATAATACACCGCCAATCTCAGGGACCAACTTCAAATAACATAACGGTAATTGTAGTTAATAAGATTGAGACAGTGAATCTATAAACTGCACTGAAGTCTGATATATGAACGCAGATACGTAGATTGGTGACCGGAAATTGGAATTCTAAGAAACATGCACGTAGTTTCAGTTATTACGCATGTTATGTCACTATCACATAATTAAATAAGGGGACCATATTTCACAACATACTTACAACAACATATTAAACATACTTAACATAACATACTCTTGAACATATTAAACACACTTAACATAACATGAACATACTCAACTATTGTACCACAAAAACTTGAATATTATCGCTAAAAGTTTAAAGGTCTCATGAATATAAACTCACGAGGAACTGAAGAGCCCGCTTCATATCTCCAAAGGCTGGCCTCTTTATCCGAAGACACCAGAAATCGTCCAATCTCCTGTCCATATCTGTACCACGTTCCATAGGATTACCTGCTCCTGGATTACCTGTAAGACACCTTGTTGGGTAAACTAGTATGCTAAATATTATTGCCGTTGCAACTTTTCTCGGTTATATATCCTTTATTTCGACAATCGACACGTCATGACATGGACAGTCATTCTAGGTTTTAATTGGAAATAGTAAACGCTGCAGCGCGCTGATTGGTTAGTAACTATCACGTGTAACTGTTACGTGTAACTGTCACGTGTAACTGTCACGTGTAACTGTCACGTGTCACGTTTTACCTCCCCACTGGTATCTATAAAAATAAACGAACCTCCAAACATGTAATGTAGTTTTTTCCTACTGTCGTAAACCAACATGTGAGCGAATCTGGGACACGGTTCTGGTTCTGTACACCCTGCGTTCTTTCCTACCTAATAATTAACTGTTACATTATAATCGTAATTAATTAATTAATTAATTGCTTAATTCTTAAAAACTTCATTTTTTTAGTTTACTCAACTAAGCTAACTTTGGAACAAAATTATACGAATTTTTACTAAGTTATATTAGACTAGATTAATAAATTAATTAACTTGTAAAATTAGTAAACTAATTACCCAATTAATTACCTCATTCCACTTGTTCCTCTTAAGACTATACACGTATATCTTCGTCTTAGCATCAGTGTAATCCTTACTCCCGTTCCGGTGGTCCTTGCTCAGACCTGACATCATGTGAATCTCTTGGTGCTGGGTGTCTATTGTAGCGCGCATTGTGAACCCGCTCTCCGGTACCTGTGGTAGTTCATAATTAGATAATTAATTAATTAGATAATGAGCTAATAACACTACTACAAATCTGTCTGGAACCTGTGATATCGCGTTGAAATATACACCGCTAGGACCAATCATTTTGTCCAGAATAAATTTTTTTTGAGGAGGTTAAAAGTATTTTTATTTATTTTTTATTTTTTTTTTTTTTTATTTATTTTTTATTATTTATTAGGACTTTTTTTGTCCTATGCATACACTCCTTGATAGTTATCTTGATCTAGTATCTTTGTTTCACACAATAGAGCATAAGTTTTGTGGTTTATCCACTGGGCTTAGAGTTTGTGTTTAAGCTACCAAATTTTATTATTATTTATTATTTGGTCATTGTAACTCAGATTCTCTTTAGGAAAACATCATAATTTTGTACTGTATTGCGACCCAAAATGCTGGTTATTTGACGGACATTTTTGAGATAAGCCTTTATTATTCGCACTTCAATGTCGTGAGATTATCGTCTTATATAATCAAATTTACACAGTAATAAGTACAATAAGATTATTAAATAAGAAGTTGGCTGTCATCGGCAAATAATCTCAGGGGCACCAGGTTCGGAAGTAGGGCAACGTGACGTCACGTGATTCACCGTGCTATGGTCGGACGTTAAAGTGTTGAGTGAGTAACTCGAGACTCGTTTAAATTGACTGTATAAAAAGTTTTATATATATTTATTTACACTTTTAAAACTGACCAGTTTTAAGTTTTATATCTACATTTAATACATTCAGAGATAAAAATATCAAATTTCGCAACGCATTATATGACAAATAATCTGGTAAGACCTCTGACATGACAATATTTACATTTAAATATGAAATAAAAATAAAAATTTCGCTCCACAATAACAAATAATATGCAAATACTTCCAACAAGATAATATCTATTATCTAGCTATAACATCAAAATAATATCTAGATAACACACCTTGGTCTCATCCACGCACATGACCTCTTCTACCGTGTCATTGTGCGTGTTATACACCAGGAAATCATCAAGGAAGTGCTCTCGCTGTCCAGCAAAGATAAACAGTTGCTTTTTATCAGGGTGGTACAGCATAGAATGTCCGAATCTCGACCTGGTTTAATTAATTATTGGTTGACTAATTATTGTCCAATTAACAAAATTGTTTTTTATAGCTATTTAAGACTAAGTACTGTAGAAATTACTTATAAATATTAGCTACAAGCTGTCTGCATGGAAAAAACATTGTTTTGATAGGATGAACTAAAGATAAATTGAGATTGTAGCAATCTGATTAGTGATTCCTGATTTTACTGCATTATATTATGTACAACTTTTATCACAATATTCAACTCCGATAAAATATATTTTTTTTAAACCAACCTTAACATGAGGTCATTGTCAGGTTTTAGTACAGTCCACACATTAGATGGAATGTGGTATTTGTACAACCCGCTGTATTCTGCTTCCGATCTAATTCCACTGTTGTTCAGTATTTTCCCACCGAAAATGTAGATGGTTTGAAGGTCTGAGTCGAGGACCATTTGATGATCGTATATCAGGCTGGGACCTCCCCTGATTAATTAATTAAATTATTTTATATTTCTCCTTTAAGTAGTACTGCACAGGCAGCGGACTGTTTTTATAAACCCCTCCGGGATAGAATAAGATTCTGATAATCCCGGCTCCCGCTAAATAGATTTTGATAATCCCGGCTCCCGCTGTTAGTTTTTTCCCGCTGAATGAATAACCCCGGCATAGTTTCTATAATCCCGCCCCGCTAATTTGGCTCAACAAGATTTGTTTTGTTTTGATATTCCATGAGAATTTCAACCGCGCACTGTCACGTGTTTTGATGATGTGTATCACGTGACTAACTACTACGACGCGCATTGGTAAAAAATGTCACGTGACCTATGGCTTAACGTAAGAGCTATAAATACACTTGATCTACGTATCGGTCTAATTGCAGGCGCTGGCAAAACTCCAGCACACTGCTTACATTACTTAAACTCTTACATTAATTGGACCAGTTCCAGAACTTGTCTCGACGGTTACATTTGATTTTGTCCGGTTAATTTTGTCGTGTTTGATATAAGCCATGTATTATAGTCGTCTACTTTGATGAACTTCATGACACGATATCATTATTAGCTCCACCTTTTATCGCTTGCCAGGCTTAACTCGACTTGCCCCTTATCGATATTCATTCAACGTTCTGACTGAGGAATAATGTTTAGATATAACGCCAATTTCAAATGTCATAGTACCTTAGTTGTACTTGTATTACTATTTATTTGGTAGTCCCCAATTCCATTTCATATTTTCCATACTGATCTCATATAGCTAGAATTAAGAGTAAAATGTCAAATTTGTTGGTCCTAGCACTAACCCGGAGGGGTTTATAACACATAACACCGGCACGCTTAAGTTATATTAAAATAACCCCTCGTGCTAAAGCACGTCGGGGTTATTTTCATAATAATCCCTCGTGCTAAAGCACTCGAAATTATTATAAATTTTTCCCGCGTGTCGCGGGAAAAATTGAAATATAATCCCTGCGCATGCCGGGGTTATGTGTGTTATGTGTACTAGAACAAATCCATTATTCCTGTAACTTTTGACGAATTTAAAAACCAAAAACATCAGAAGTCTTAATATGATCTAAGCTAGAGGATACAAATTATTGATTCTGGGGATTGCTTGACAGAACTACGAAGTGTAAAAGACTAAAAAGTAATCACATCAAAACTTACTTTTCAAGAAATAAAATGAACTTTTTAACAACTTACTCTGATCCAGTATCACTACTTATCAAGTTCCACTGATCACACTGTATATCATAACAATAGAAATCACTCTTTAACTCCATGTTAACTCGGGCTCTAACATCCAAATACCGGCCCAATATGTAGATTAACTTGTGCTTGGAATCTAGCACCATTTTATGACAGGACCTACGGCAGGGCCCACTATTAATCTCGGTGTCTGCTGAAATGCACTGCCATGTGTTTGCTGAACTGTTATATTCCCAAAAATCTCCCAGGTCATTTTTACCGTCCCAACCACCAAAGAGGTATACTTTGCCGGCTGTTTCGTCGATGCACATGGGATGACCACCACGGTTACCGGGTCTTGGAGAACCGTCTGGAACATGGATCTGCTCCCATTTAGCTGAGTATTGCTTGCTTGTATAATCCTCCATGTACCCGTCGTGAAATGCGTGGTCTAACAGAACTTCCACTTCATCGAAATCCCCAGAACCCACGAGCTTTTCATGGAGTTGTGTTAGCATGGGGTGCTCAAGCTGAACTTTCGTTCTTTTTTGCAGAGACTCAAAAGCTTCACTGTAATTGTGCTGGCGGAGGTGTTTCAAGCAGAGCTTAATTGCTCTTTCCTGACGTCTGTTTGTGAAAAACTGAATACAGGGGTTGACATATAGGGGGTCTGACACGCCAGATAGCCTCACGTACCAGATACTGAAGTTCAATGCGGCCGGCCCCCAGGTCGTATCAGGGACTATCTTAATATATGAGCTAGGAAAGTAATTACCATGAAACGCATCGTCTAGATCAAATGTTTCAGGTTTAGAATTGTTTGTTAATCCCTTCTTGCCGAGTTCAACCATTCCTTCTTCTGACATGCCACCCAATATTGTGAAACTTTTTAGATTGCATACATGGCTTTTGTGAAACTTTCCAAAGGTGATTTTTCGAATAACTGAAGGTCTGTCAAGTTTCAAAGTTAAGTACTGCGGGGGAAAGTTGCTCCCAGATTGCCAGCGTGACATTTGATCAGAGGGATCATCTAATAGAATCTTTGAAGGATGATAGTCACCAGCGTAACTACTCCACTTGTGAATTGAGTAACCAATTGTAACATTTGGTGGCAGAAGCCCTTCTGTTATTCCCACCATCTTTTCCTAAGAACATGAGAGGGTTTAATGCTAACAGTATCAAAGAAATAAATAATGAACAATAGTTTAAGGTCAATCTTTGATGAAGTAATTCTCTCACAGACGTTTCTATAATAATCTCAAAGTGTTTGTTACATTAGCCATGTTAAAAGTGTTGAAATAATTCTTTGACATTAACCAGAGGGACTCAATATCATTAAAGGGGTTGTTAACTTGGTATGTGTTATAATGTGATGTTATTAACTGTTATCATTCAGGATGTTTTGACTTGGTTACTTTGGAACTTGGAATCACTGTTTTAATTTGTACTAAATGGCGACGAGGATTATAGAACCCATGCAACTGGACAACGTAGAGGATTGGCTTGAGCGGTTGGACCAAGCAATTTCATGTTGCATAGTCCAAGAAAAACTGACAGAAGAAGAGGCCAAAAACAGTTACTCAGTATCGTTGTTGTTGTCGAACATTGGACAAATGGGGTACAAGGTGTTGAAATCATATTGTGCACCGGACAAACCTGCCAAGAAAACATACAATGATCTTGTAAAACTGCTGACCGAAAATCTGGCTCCAGCGTTAGATGCGGTATCAGAAGGGTATCGTTTTAACCTGATGAAGCAGGAATCTGGAGAGGGGCTAAGCCTTTACATGTCGCGAGTCAAGGAAAAGGCAAATGTGTGCAACTTCGGAACTTTTTACGACCGTATGGTCAAGGACCGTTTTCTGTATGGATTGAGAGATTCGAATATCAGATCTTATTTGCTAACTAAAGCAAACTTGGACACATCTGCAAAGGTCCTAACAGCAGCTATAGCAAAAGAAAACGCGATGACAGCTAATTCAGCCATGTCAGGTTACGGGTCAGCACCATCTGCTCATTTTGTCCATAAAAAACACCATTATGGGGGACAATCGGAACAAGGTCAGATGAAAGGTTATCGCCCTGGTGATAAAGGACTGGTTTGCTCAAAATGTACATTGAAGGGCCATAAGGCTCCGGATTGCAAAGTGAAATGTAGAAACTGTCACCAGACCGGTCATATCAGAGCAAACTGTTTGAAGGGGAAACGCCCAAAACAGAACAATGTGGGTGAAGCAGATGATGATGATGTTTACGGGGATCAGGAACATGTTTACGGGGATCAGGAACATGAGTATATGATGAAAGTGGATGTTTTATCGGAGGATTCTCCAGTTATATGTAATCCTAATCTGTCACCTGAACCTTGCATCTATCTACCTGTTGATCCAGTCAACTATCCCCTCAAGGGGAACTCTGCTCCTGATTTCCAACATTCTCATGACGAGAATGACTCATCCAACTCCATGGGGAGTTCGAGTTTGAGTGAAGCTGAATCTGCTGTAAGTTATGATTGTACAGTAGAATGTATGTCGACTGTGTCGAGTAGAGTTTGTTCTGAAAATCAAATTTCTGTTTGTGAATCCCGTGATATGGTTTGTCATTTTCGAAGTAGAAAACTCATGATTTTGTTATTACTAAATGGGAAACCAGTCGAGTTTGAATTAGACACTGGTGCTGCTTTAACATGTATTTCTAAACCTAAGTTTTCACAGCTAAATTTGAACATTTTTGCAGTTTTGTAGTTTTGTTACGTGTTGAAAAACAGAGCTCCCTTATCTCTGTTTAATCGGAAATTTTAACTGCCACTGCACTGCTACTGCACGGTGTTTGTACTTTACCTTTGTACATCTATACAAGTACAAGTACACAATTGCAATGGAAAAGTCTGCTCATAACTCTGCAAAGAATCTTCTCGTCAACGGATTATGTAAATCTTGTTCGAATGATGAGGTTGTCAAAAGTACCGACATTGTACAGTGCTTTTGGTGTAAGGACAGTTTTCATGCTATCAACTGTGATGAAACTTGCAATGTCAGTGCGCCCACGGTTTTTACTGCTCACCTGTCTCATGCTGTGAACAACACTTCATCTTATGCTAAACGATTTGGTCGCTTTCTATTTATCTGTAATGATTGTAGTACTGCTGAGGAGGAAAAGAGGGCTGCTACTACCGTAGATCGGGTAGGATTGTTAGATAATAAAATAGATGCCATAAATTTGGAGTTCAGGGAAGAGATGTCTGAACTTAAAACCTTGCTGAAGGAACAACTGTCCCAGAAACCTGAGAGAGCTCAAGAGCGATCCTCAGATCAGGTTGATTTTATGAAACAATTTGCTGAACAGTTTTCATCTTTAAAAGAAGACCTCACGAAAAATATCAATGATGTTATTGACAATAAAGTAAACACTGTTGTAACAAAATCCGGTACTGTTTCTCATACAAAGGACGTTCTCTATTCCAGCTTGTTTACCGACTCAAACAGTTCCACACCATCTGCTCAACCACCACATGTTCCAATTGCTCCAACACGTACACAACCTTCATCACCCGAGATTCTAATTCTGTCCCCGAAAGAAGAACAATCGGTAAATGCTGCAACAATGACGAATGTGAAAAAATTTGCTACTGATAAATTAAAGAGCAGTCAAGTAGTATTTCTCAGATGTAATGAAAACAACAAGAAAGTTTCAATTGGCTTCCCTAATGCTGAAATTCGTGATAAGGCTACTTCACTTCTCAATGATGGAAATACCTTAGATTCGTATGGATATCAGTCTAAGAATGGCAACAAAATGCTGCCAAAAGTTACTATTTATGGTGTTTCTTCTGAAGTTCTTGACGATATAGACACTACAGCTGTAGGGAATGATGCCGATAAACTTAGGGATCTTGAAAAGAACCACTTAGTCGCCCAAATTGTGGAGAAAAACTCGTCCATCAAAGATTTGTATGAAGCAGGGCACACTATCAGTATTGTCTATCTCAATAAGATAAAACGTTTCACCAACGATAAGCAGGAACGCATAGAGCTCACTATTGGAATCAAACTATCACCATCTGTCTATAGAGTCCTCTTTAACCAACAACAAGGATCTCTCTATTTAGGTAGTCGCAGATACAAAGTAACTGATCGCTTCTACATCAAACAGTGTTATCATTGTCAAATGATTGGACACACTTCTGTTGACTGTAATGAAGTCAAAACAAATAAACATCCTACCTGAATGTACTGTATGGGAAGTCACCGGTCTTCAGCATGCCAATTTAAGCAGAAGAAGGACAAACATGCCTGTGCTCGATGTTTGGCTTCAACACACACTAATGATGCCGAGAATTCAACAACACATAATGCGGCAGCTTACGATTGTCCTGTGTTGGTAAGAGAAACTAAACGTATTGCTGCTAACACTGACTTTATTTCAAAAAACGTAATGTGAAATTAGGTGCTAATCGACAGAAATCACAGCTTTCTATTGGTTGTTTCAACGCAAGGTCTCTATGCAACAAAACTTGTGGCGTACTAGAAATGCTTAAAGATAACTCGATTTCTATCTGTTGTATCACGGAAACTTGGCTAAAAACTAATGATCGGGCAAAGTTTGCTGAAATCCGTGATTTTGGGTTCGATATTATCAGTGCCCCTCGAAGAGGTAGGGGAGGTGGTGTTGGTTTTCTCTTCAACCCCAAAATGATATCGCCTGTACGCAATGACGTTACTAAATATTCATCTTTTGAAGTACTTGAATGTGTCATTAAAACTGCTGGTGAGATTATCAGGCTATGTGTAGTTTATCGCAGCACTCAGGCCAAAGCGAAATATGATGAAACAAAAATATCTAAGTTTATGGATGACTTTGATGGATACCTGGACAATCTTCTGCTTAAAACTGGATCTCCAATTATTTGTGGTGACTTTAATTTCCATGTTGAAGACATATACAATAATGTTGCCCAGAACTTTATTGCTCTTTGTGAGAGCAAAGGCTTCCTTCAGCATGTCGACTCTCCTACTCACATCTCCGGCGGGACACTGGACTTGTTATTTACTCTAGGCTGTGTAAGTGACTCATTGTCTGTAACAGATATGATGGTAGAGACAAGCACTGGAACCAGCTCTGATCACTATCTAGTAAGTTTTCAGGTCCCAGTCACATTCGATCTTCATAAAGCTCGTACATATGAAGAAAAAGATGTCAGAGAGCTAAGCAAAATTGACATCGATAAGTTCAGGGAAGATCTGTTTTGTTCAGAGCTTAACTTTTCTGAATATCAATCCTTAGACGAGGCTGTGAACCTTTATCAAAATGTCCTTGAACAGGTGCTAGACAAACATGCCCCACTTATTACGAAACGATTTACTGCTGAAAAGTCTGATTTTTGGGATAATAAATGTCAAATTGCTGTCAGAGAGAGGAGAAGGGCAAAACGAAAAGCCAAAAAGTATCCAGAGAATGATGAGTTTAAAACTACTCATTTTGAAAAATGTGTTGACGCAGAAATCACTATCAATCGAGCTAGGGATGGCTACTATGATAAACAGCTCAGTTCTTGCAAAGGAGACTCGAAAGGGACCTATAAAGTCATAAATAAACTTTTAGATAAGGAATATGGCTCCAACAAATTGCCAAATGGTGAAGATATCGAAGTGGCTGCCAAACTCAAGACTTTCTTCGATCAAAAAGTAAAGACCATTTACTCTAATATTGAGAAGGAAATTCAAAACACTTCCCTAAACGGTCAAGGTACCAAGGACTCTACTTCGATAGATAATGCAAAGTGTAGACTTAATCAGTTTAAGGAAGTCTCATTATCAGACCTTGAAACCTTAATTAAGAGTCTTCCCAATAAATCAAGCGTACTCGATGTCATACCAATGTGGCTCTTCAAGAACTGCTTACCCGAGCTTCTCCCAATCATCCATTACATCGTGAATGAATCACTAAGAGTCGGAAAGTTTCCATCTGCCCTAAAAGAAGCATCTATTAGGCCTGGACTCAAGAAACCTACCTTAGATGTTGATGAGCTGAAAAACTATCGACCGATTAGCAATCTAACTTATCTGTCCAAAATACTAGAAAAAGTAGTTCATTGCCAATTAAATGAATATGCTGATGTCAACAACCTGTTTTCCCCATACCAATCAGGCT